AGATATATAAATAATATAATTACTACTTTAAATGTCAAATTAGCTCGCAGTCTATGTAATAGTATGTAACTAACTGCCTCGTTACTTAAGTAGTCTTAAAAGTGCCTGCTGATCATGAATCATAGGTTCATATACCGAGCCGGGCCAAAGAAACATTCATTGAGTTTTCTGTCAGAAATTATCAGTCCGGAGTCAGGAAGTTGGCGGTGTTTCAACCTGTGACACCAACAGTTTTATAAGCACCAACTTTTTGCTTCCAGGATGCTTAAAAATTAATGGAGGCCCGACCGGGATTTACGTGGTAGAGCCATGCTGCAGCTATATTAGTAGTATAGTTGTAGCACGAATGGGTCGGCTCGACCGGGGAATTACCACGCTCTCACAGAATACTAGCGTAAAATATCAGCTTAACGCTGCTGTGCTTCGTATGGTGAGTGTAGAGAATCGGAGACCCTTTTTACTGGAAAAGAGGCATTCCATCTTAGTCCTCACGAGTGAGAACGCATCTACATTTTGATTAGTGATCGAGGACTGATGTAGCTGTCAATGGGCCGCAGCAACCACTTACCATCAGGTGGACTGTGCGCTTGTTTCTCACCATTATCCAAAAAAACTGGAACACGTGACCACATGATAAGCAGTTGCTCTTACGGGCGTTGACGGGCGTTGACTGCGCCACGTTGAGTGGCGTGGGGCTTCTCTCCACCCACAAGACCAACAAAGTAGTTATATGTGAAAATAGATGTAGTTACGTTGTACCAGTTCTGGCCCACTGAGTCAGAAGTGGCACAAGTACGACGTTCGTCGACTCACGATCCTAAAAAAAAAAAGTTTTGGCATGCTCTGATCACATTCCATTGATCAATTTTTGCGTAGGATGCACGGTTCCGGAGATGTGCAGATCAATTAACTCTTATCTAATTGATATCCGGTGAAGGCCTCCACCGTCATTAGCGCTTCATTGTTCTTATCTATTTGTCTATTGTTTATTGAATACCGTCATTATCTATTCTTCCTCAGCGTGGTGCTATTGTATTATACTCCTTTGTTCCTATCTACACTAATCTGACTCATCAATAAAACACATTACCTAATTTTGTTAAAATTTTTATTTACAAAATACAAAATCTTATTACTTATTATCTATAAAATAGGAGCGAAACATCTCATCCACTAAAATATCGTTGTACAATGTGTTCCCTGTAAATATACTCGTAAAACTATGCATTGAACATCCCTGAAACTTATATAGCAAATACATTAAGCAATATTCGCCACAAACTGAAGTCCACTCAATCTGAAAATCCTATCAACATTCCAGTTCCATCTTTTACAATTCCTTTTTAAAAACTCTAGATGATATCGTACAGGTGCTCGTCCTTATGAATCAAAATATTGACCGACGTCATTCGTATCGATATATAAAGCTACCCAATGTGACCCTGGTTTATCATCTGTACCCAAATTGGATATTATATACGTTGGTACGTGGGTGTACATGGGCATTCTATTGGCAGCATAAACATTATTTTCTAGACTGGGGTGAATCTTTTTCAGATGTTGTTGTACATCTAGTGTATCCATGATATTACTGCTATTAGTAGATTATTACAGTACAATCTACTCAATGACTAACATAGGAATGATCAATTATAGTGATTTCTAAATATTAAATTGCATTATTTTGTGTTATACAAAACGTATTTGAATCATCAATACACTAAACAAGACGCAACAGGAAGTAATGCTGAGATAAGCAACAGAATGTGAGATAAGCTTGTTGACGCATAAAGTTACTATCAATTCCACTGCAGAAATTCTTTAAAGTAGAATTATTACTTACTGGTACTATATAAGACCGCGCAACTGCAGTCATAGAGTTAGTGTATGGTCGTTTGACCGCAGTGGATCCATCAATACTACATTTGTGTTACTTCAACGCATCAAAGGCCATGGATGTAAGTGTTTATTCTATTGACAAAGTTACTTTTCTTTCTGTTATTTTCTTACGTGTGTATGATTTAGTGTTAACAAATTATATTTAAATATTGTGAGTGTATATGATTAAGCCGTGGTAGCTCTGATGGTTAGCGTAAATTTCACAGTACGCGACCCGGGTTCGATCCCCGCCGTCAGTCTGAGAAATTTTCGAAGGCATGTGAAGTTCGCCAACACGCATTGAGGCAGCGCCGCGGACACTTCCTAACCATAAATACAAATACAATAGCAGAAAGGGAAAAAGTTAAAAAATACTTTTTTAACAATAACAGTCATTAGTTGATCATTAGTGAATGTGATTCTGTTTACTTAAATTACAGGAAGACAAGAGCAGAAGGAAGAAATGGGATGATGGGAAGTAATGAAGAATGAATTGTATGTGAAGTTCGTTGGAACAAACATATTTTTAGTCACGTGTAAATACTTTTAATGCCGGCTGTACACGCTCGTCGAGACACCACGAGACATGCCTAGAGGTGAGCATTATTTAACATAATCGGTTTCAGAAACTGCTTACGAGCTTGATAATCGTATACCCAGTTTCGTGGACAAAATGTAATGATTATTTTACGTACGCAGTTGACACACACCACGACCGGCGCTCGCGTAAGCGTTTCGTTTTGAACAGATTATTATTAAGATGAATATAGGTAGGTACGTAACACGATATACGACTCGCACAACGAGAGTAAAGAGTCCCTTCGGGATAGTTAATGGCTTACACGCAAGATGTGGATCATAAAAATTATGTGATGTGATGGAAAATAATACTTAGGCACTTACATATTTTGTGACCATAAAATTGTACAAAAGTACTAATATTGACGATGTCACGCGCATATTATAATTATAACACCTATAAAATGTTATATATTCGTAATCATAATCATAACGTAACACAGTTAAACTAATGTTATAATACCTATAACCTGTTAATATTTTTGTAATCATAACCTAACACAAACACAGAACTAACCTACGCTATACTGTATTGTATACAGATGTATGTAGCGTTGCCAGGCATCCGGATAAAGGCGCACACAGTCAGGCTTTTTGTTTGCGTGTCCGGCCAAATTAGACGGTGTCCAGGCCTGTCCGGCATTTGTCAGGCTTTTTATATTTGACCATTTTTTACATTTTTCATGTACTTAAATACATACTACCTATTGCAATTATTGAAACTAATATTGTAATGAATATTGAATGATTAATAATAAAGAACACTGATTCTTTTAATTTAAGATTTTGTAGTAAATGATATAAGGTTAGCATTGTTTTACTTTAAAAAATATATTATCGTGTTATACTAAGACTGAATAATTAAGGGTGTCCGGCCTTTTTACCAAAATGTCTGGCAAAGCTGGATGGTTTGTTCGGCTTCTCGGTTTAAAGACCTGGCAACCCTAGATGTATGTAGCTCATGGCGGCTGCACACGCTCATCTCGTCACCTCGTGTGCCTCTCGTCACGTAAAGGCTCGACGGAGAACACACCATGTACACACTCGTTGTATCATTTGAAGTTTGAACTCCATATGCCCGCTTGCTGCGTTTTGCCTTTGAACTATTATATTTTTTACACATTTACTAAAAATAAAATTAATAACCCATTGCTAAGAAGGAGGTGGTGGATAGTTTTTATTAGTTTACCGTAACAGTACCATGTACGGTGAATAGAATAGTGTATAGCTTGCGGCTTGCGCCACGAAAGATGAACAGTGCGGTGAGGTATGACATACGGGGAAGCGAAACCATAGCAACGGGCGACGCGCTAGCTCCAAGTAGTGTCTCCCTGCGTCCAGTCACCCGCGCACATACTTGTGTCGTCTTGCGTACTATCGATATCGAAAGTGTTAGCGACTACCTGTTATACAATATTTAAAAAAAAATATATATATATATATAAAAATAAAGTAAATAATTATTCAATAAACCTGGCACTTAAGACATAAATATTGATATCGGTATTAAGAGTATGAAATATTTTATGAGATTTGTAAAACTTAGCAGGATCTATTGAAAGATGACTGTAATTATGTAAAGAAAAAGAGAGGTTCAACTAGTCCCGGAAAAAACACATGTTTCTTCATAAATTTAAGTACATATATATTTTAAATGAAATTAAAAAAAATCAATAATATCATTAAACACTGTATTTAATAAACTTTCTTACGGTGTATTACACTTCTTTATACATTATCATCAAAAAAAAAAGTTATTAACAATAAAATCACGTATGTCGTCTTGAGACAAAACAGAAATAACAAATACAAAATATTTTACCTCTTTAACTAAGTGTACACAAAATACAGAATATTCTTTAGCAGCAATTAAAACCTAACGATTATATATAAGTACGTTTTCGTAGAGACTTTGGTGTGTAGTTGTAATGTCGACCTTTGACTTTTTACATATTAAAATGTCATAATACAGTTTGCATTTTTCTGCTTGATTATACATGTTATACACGTTAAGTGAGGAGTGCCGGAACAAAACATGATAATTCGACTTTTTGTAAAAAAAAGTTAGCAATGACATTCGACAGAATACCATAAATTACGTCACCCGTTAGGCTGGTGTGGTTCAAATCGTGCTTATTCCTGTGGTAAATAGCCCCTCAAGTTAAAAGTTTGAAGCAAATCATGATATTTCCATATTTAAAAATGTAAATAATCAAAATCGGAACAAAACATGATACATTTCATACATTTTTGGTAAGCAGATTGAGAGTTGGTACAAAATAGGATATTTCCATGTAAAAATAACTTATCGACTTTGAACCCTTTATTTACTTAAATCTTAGGGTGCTGAAGCCGTAAAAAAGGACATTATTTGTCTATGGTTACGTTGTTTGGTTGACATATGTCACATGACTACAGATTTAAGTCAATGTCAAAATATTGGTCATCGGTCGCATTCGGTTGGTATTTAAAGAAAATTGGGGACTGCGAGTGAAAAATACCTAAATTGAGTTATTTAAAGTTTTTTCAAGTGATTTACAAGCATGTCTGAGCAGTCGAATACTGTTTGTGCACTCAATAGTGGAGCGAAGAAAGAGAAACGTCGAGAAAGGAAAGCTTTATCCGAAAGAAACAATAAGTAAGTTCGTTCAAATATTTTCGTGTAGCATGTAAAATGTTCAATCTGTTACAAGATTACAATATGTGCATTATTTTGTTTTAGATACATTGACAATGACCCGCTGTGCTTAAGAATTCAATGTACGTGTAATCATGGACAAAAAAGCAATTTTAAATGTAAACAAATATCGCAACAGGATGTCGTTCGAAACCGTAAGAACTTTTATTCGACATCCAAAAAAGTTCACCAAGACGTGTACTTATGTCGTCTCATTAGTGCATTTGAACCCCAACGTAGAGGCAAAGGCACACCACGGCCTTCTGGTAAAACAAAACTTCGAAAGTTAAGTACATCATTCTTCCTATATGGGAAAAAGAAAATAATGAAAAGGGTATGCAAATCATTTTTCATGGCAGTATTTTCTATCAAAAGGCAGAGGTTATCAACTATTATGAAATGTGTGATGGATGGCAAAGTTCCAAAGGAAGAAAGAGGAGGTGACAGGCGCTCAGCCAAATCTCATGAGAAAAAAGAACATTTACGCAATTTCCTCCGAAACCTTCCTTGCAGTGAAAGCCACTACAATAGAGCGAAAAGCAAGAGGGTATATTTGGATGCCGCATTAAACATGAAAATATTGAGAATGTTTTACAATAATAGTGTGCCGAATGACCTGAAAGTCAAGAGAACAATGTTTTACGAAGTGTTCACATTTGAATTTAACATTGGATTTCGTTCACCTGCATCAGATGCCTGCAGTTCCTGTATACTATTGAGTAATAGTATAAAAAACGAACAAGTTTCGACAAAAAAACAAGAACTTATGACAAAACTTCGCATCCATAAATTGCGAGCAAATTTTTTCTATAAACTTTTAAAGAAAAGGGTTGATGATAGTATTACTATTTGTTTTGATCTCCAGCAGGTATTTCCTCTACCTAGAACACCAATTCAGGAGGCTTTTTATTCCCGTCAGATTAGTCTATATAATTTATGTGTGATGGATCTATCAGAACAAAATAATTCTTGTCTGTATAACTGGGATGAAACGGAGTCTGGCAAGGGTGCTGTTTCAATTGGATCTGCATTATACTGCTTCTTGAATACTCAAACAATACCGGCTAATGTGAAGTTAGTAAGACTTTTTGTGATGGCTGCGGAGGCCAAAATAAAAACAGCCATGTGTTGCATATGCTGCTATTTTGGCTTCAAAATAAGTCCCCTACACATGTTAAGGAAATACAACTTTATTTCCCAGTGCGAGGGCATAGCTTCATGCCAGCGGACCGTTTATTTGGTAGAATTGAGAAAGATGTGAGAAAAATACCAGTGATTACTACAAGGCAAGAATATTTTGAAATATTTTCTAAACATGGCAGAGTTTGCGAGCTTGGTAAGGATTGGTGTCTGTATAATATAAAAGGTTTAGAAACTAATTACAAAAAACTTGTGGGCATACAATCCATGAAAAAAATTATAATCAAGAAGTGCAAATCTTCTCAGGGCAGACAATTGAACTGCGTAGTAAAAGCTTCACCAAACTATAGGTTTGACTCCGGAGAACAGTTTATATCACTACTGAAAAGGGGCAGACGTCACCCCAGAAATATAGAACAAATTCAGGAAGACCGAGGACTGAGTGCTGCAAAGAAAAATGATGTGACTAGTCTATTAACAAAACAGTTCGGTGCAGATTGGGAGAACCTTTCGGCATTAGAATGGTATAAACAAATATTAAGCTGTTCTAGAAACATTGCAGAACAAAACGAAGAAATAGATGATGATGAAGCATGTATTTGTACTGAGATGGATACAGAAGACATAAGAATTTGATTTTTCACTATTAATTGTGTATTTGTCACATATTTTAATTATTAAATAAATAATAAATCCAGAACATAAAATGTTATTTCCCAACCTTACTTTTTCAAAACATGATATTTCCAAACAGTTTGGTACAAATCATGATATTTTCGTCACATCTGATCAGAACATGATATTTCCATTTTTCACATGAGAATAGATAAACAATTTGAAATAAAAAATAATAATAAAGAACATGCTTATTAAGCTTTTACAGCTATTTATTCATTAGAACCTATATTTTTTTAAATTGCAATAAGGCAAAGTAGTTGCCGGTTTTTGACCCTTTGTGAAAAATTAGACATCATGGAATTATCATGTTTTGTTCTGTCACTCCTCAAGTAATATCATCATTCGCTCTCGGTTTTCATCGCGATACCTACGAGACCCTTTGACTCGAGCGCAAAAAACCGACACGCTTCCGAGAGCGCACGAGGGACACGAGACGCGACGCGACGCGACGAGAGCACCCTGTACACACTCGTACTCGCTCTGTCTAGACATGGGTCGTAACGTCTTGGACGTAATCGGTTGTACGTAGTTTCGTGGATATGAGTAACTAGTTTCAAAACTGCTTATTTTTGTAATTAGTTACATATGTATACAGTATAGCGTAGGTTAGTTTTGCGTTTGTGTTATGTTATAATTACGAAAATATTAACATATTATAGGTAGGTATTACAATATTAGTTTAACTGTGTTATGTTATGATTACGAATACGTAACAGGTTATAGGTATTATAACATGTGCGCGACATTGTCAATATTATTAGCTTTGTACAATTTTATACAGTAACAAAATATGTAAATATTTAAGTATTATTGTCCATCACATCACATAATTATTATGATCCCCATAATACACAAAATTAACTTAATACAAAAAATATTTATTATTTATTTACACCAATTATATGTCTGTTTATGTACACTAAATATTTATATACACTTTAAATGTTTATTCACAAAGAAAACTATACATGTTATAATATTTATAAAGAAAAACGCGAAGTTTTTAAGAACAATGTTAAATAACGCTCGCCTCTAGGCCTGTCTCGTGGTGTCTCGACGAGCGTGTACAGCCGGCATAACATTTTGGTTCAAAATGACACAAAATCTAAAAAATAAAAGATACATCATCGACATGGACGGATTTTACATTACATATCCTCATAAACATTTTTAATGTAGAGAAATGGCTATTCTAGATGTAAAACTATCTAATAAAAATGATGCGTTTAGCGATCATTATTTGTTTCGGCCAAGTTATCCTTTCAATTATTTGTCGCCAAAAGACAAAAAAAACTGTTCGTTATTGTGAAACACACGTGCACGGCATTCCATATTTTGATGTGACCGAAGAATTAAGATGTGCCTACAAACAAGAGAACATCATTCCCATATTAAATTGGTATATTAGAAATTTGTGCAAAGACAAAGTGATCGCATACAAAGGTGGTTCAACAGAAAAACAATTTTTAAAAATGTTGACGACGAATGATAGAATTTTTAAATATTGAAGAATACAAATGTCCAAAATACAATGATTTGGTAAATATCACAAATTTAAACAAACGTTATGTGTGTAATAATCATACTATATTTGCAAAAAATAATCACAAAATTTTACATTGTTCTTGTGACGAAGTGTGGGTTTTTTACACATGGTTATTGCTTGAAAATAAAATTTTAAATTAAACATAAATTTTGTTTGATTTCCCAAAAACATTAGTTATAATACTCGCATACAAAGGTGGTTCAACAGAAAAACAATTTTTAAAAATGTTGACGACGAATGATATAATTTTTAATATTGAAGATCCTCATCATCGGATATTGCAGCATTTTATAAGCTATTCTTTCCTAAGGAATAACCACTGCATCCTAGTACCTTGTCGCTGAATGGTCAGGGACTTCAATGCAGCTAGCAAGGTTGCTTCAAGCCGTTCCATGAACCGCCACCTATGGACCCCGGTAGTAGCTTACAGCTCAGCCCTACCTTGAACTTACATTTTGAACTTAGAAACTACATTATTATCAATCGGGGCGGCTTATCTTATATTTGTTTAATAAAAATATTTAAAATTGTGGTTTTATTTACATTTGTATTATTTTTTCAGGTTCAAGCCATGGGTGAAATTAGTTGGGAATGAAGACCTGGCACATATACTAATCGAAAAGATTCACATGATAAAACTTATTTGTTGCAAACATTTCATATGCTAAGGTTTAAAAAAAACTAAACCTAACTAAAACGAACTGCTATTACATCTGTGGACTAAAGCTTCCACTATTATATGATGTGCACATTCATTTGTTTTCAAAAGATAATATCCCTCTAAAGTCACATTTTGGTAAGAATTCGATAATATAACGAAACTCGAAGTTTAGTTTATAATAAATAATAATATAATTACAAATGTTCAATGTTTTTAGAGTCGTCTACGAATAGTGAGCACTAACTTTGAAAGCAACTGTTAATAAGCAATATCTGCGAGTATTAAGTATTTGTTACACTTAAAAGAAAATTAATCCAATTATAGGGGAAAGTTGGATACCGATACCGTGTCCCTAAGAACTTAGACCTCTAATTCGAACAGAGTTTGATATACAGATTTAAAAAAGTGTTTAAACAGTAGAGAATTTGTTTAGCTACACATACAGCATGGCAAAATATTTTAAACAATTGACAGAAAGTAATTATTGCGATATTCTAAAACAAAGGGAGAGTGTGGTATTATCAGACTGGTTGGATAATATCGTGCCAAGGTTTGATAAAACCGTGTCCATAATATTATCGCGAATTTCTATAAATAACCTTAGAAAAAATCAATTTTAAGATATTATTTTATATTTATTGAGGTATTATTTTAGAACAATATAAAACAACTATACAAAATATAACGTAATAATAACGGAAACTTAGATTATTTAAGTCATCAAAACCTATACTTCTACATTTATTATTTTATCAATGACTAGGTATTAAATTTAGTAAATCGTTGAATGAAATTACTAGTCAGTCTCAGCAATACCTATAATCAGCCGTATTATCAGAATTAAAGTCGCATTAATTAATGCAAAAATCACGTAAGAAATCTTCGGGAGAGTATTTTCCGCTACATTACTTATGTATCCAATTCAAGCATCTGCAACAATGGAACCGAATTTTAAATTCTTTACCACGATCAAATTCTTGACGATTCTCTATCACAATCCTTCACATCATCTTCTTCATCATCGCACAACTGAGCGAATATCATCCTCACTATCTTTAGTGCTGCTGATACATTTCTTTGACCTAACTTTAGGTCTCTTTCTTCCTTTTGCGAGCAGATAGTCTTCATCCTTACTATTTTCGCTGCTGTTCAAAACAATCCTTTTCAGAATTTCCTTCAGTTTGTTTCTTCTATTTAAAGTTCTTGTCTTCTTCAGTCTTCATTTGTTTTACTTGTCGCTTTCGTGTTTTTCGTCTAGCTGCTGTTTGCTCAATCTCAATCGATAATCTTCTCCCAATCTTAATCGATCCCTAATTGTGGAATAAGGGACATCAGTTTTAGCAGCTGTCTTTATTTTGCTATAGTTCTATATAGCCTCTAAAGCAGCACTCGTATTTTCTGGATTCCACTTCTTTTTTCTGTGTAGATTTATCCATCTAAAACAAAAACAAACAAAATATTATTTATAATTTTCATAGGTTATAATTTCGCGCTCCTATTGATAACCGCGCCCTGGGCGCGGAATTGACAAAATAGGGGTATTGCCCCTATTACACCACCCTGAACCAGGGCCCTAAATGAAGGGTGGGCGTGGCCTCTATAAGGACGTCAGTTATTACACTACCCTGATTTTACGCCCTTACTCAGTCATATGTTGCAATTACTTTAGAAATATCGATTCAATATATTTATTGAATCGATATTTCTAAAGTAATTGTAACAAATCATTTAATGTATTTCGTCCTGCTAACTCTAGTTGCGTAACTCGAGTTTAGTTCGAGTTGTATGAATTTGAACTTGAGTTAGCTCGAGTCGTAATTTTTCCAAATAAGCACATCTATAGGATGCAACATCGCTCATTAAAAACATGGATGCTTATGTACGATATATTGATTTTTTTTCAATATTTTTTTATAATACATACATATGGAATAAATAATCATTTTGAACAGAAATGAAAGAATGAAGTATATTCATGTTATTTAAGGAGGTTTTACACTATTTATTTTTACATGTTTAATTTTATCGAATAATTATCAGAAAACAAGAATTTATCAAATATTTTTTTGACAACCTGGTCCCTAGGCACCAGGTTGTCAAAAAAATATTTTTATAAAAGAAAAAAATATTTTTTAAAAGTAAGTGGTTTCTCTTCCAGGTGATAGTAGATCCAGCCTATGAAAATAACCGCTCACGGGATACCATAATAATATATAAAACTCGTCTTCTGCTTTCATTTCATTTCTTATGATGTGGTGCGTCAATTTTTTATGGTCTACGAAACTATATCTAAATACAAACAGGTGAATAACCGTTCATCCATAAAAATCAATATTTAAGAAAAATGATTGTAACGAAATACGAAGTACCGTAAGCCGATAAAATAATTTTCATTACAAAATAACTATTAACTTATAAGACTGTACTTAAGCTATTCATTAAGTTAAAACTCAAACAATATAATTCATCATCATCATCATCATCACAGCCCTTCACAAGTCCACTGCTGAACATAGGCCTCCCCCAAGTAATGCCACAAAGCACGGTCCTGAGCCACCTGCATCCATCGACTTCCTGCATATCTTACCAGGTCGTCACTCCATCTAGTGGGGGGTCGCCCTACACTACGCCTACCGGTAAGAGGCTGCCACTCGAGAACCATATAATTATTAATAAGAAAATGAATAAAACAATTTCAATCCATTTTCAACATTTGTAAACTTATCTTAATTAATTATCACAACAAAAATA